GGTATGTCTGTCGGTGGGTATTACTTTCACCAGCCTTTCCTTGCAGTAGTATGTCTATAAATGGCAGACAGCATCATTCCTAATTACATGTTGCCCCCAGATGCTCCGAGGGTGATGCTGATGGATTGCTGTGTGGGTGGTGTTGAAGAGGCTGGGGGAGGGGAGCTCAGATGCAGCTCCTCTAAGTGGTAGCAGAGGTCTCTCTTGGGCTGGGCTCATCAGTCCTCCCTCTGCAAAGTGAGCTCAAGAATCTGCGAGCTCATGGAGCTGGGCACTGGAAAAGGGGACGCAATGCGGGGAAGGCTTCAGAGTACTGCCCAAACAACCGGGGAAGCGGGAGGAACTGGGAGGGACAGAGGATTCACCCTTTGCCTACCCGTGCAGGAGGCACTCAGCACGGAGGGCTGAGTACACAAGCTGCTACATCTTGCTGCCCTGATCTCGCTTTCCCTGCCCCGCCGCCCGGCCCCTTTCCGTGGAGGTGTTTCGGACAGGCACCTGCTGCGTGGGGTCAGAGATCGCTGCCGTGCGAGAGGGCAGGCTGGGCTTTGGAGCTGAATCAGGCCGAGTTTGGCTGCCGAAAGCGGGGCTGTGGGCCTGGCTGAGCCGCTGACTCCTGCCAGCTCCGCGGCCGGGCTGCGGGAGCAGGGGGAGCACCGCCCTTCCCCGGCCCAGGGACGGGCATGCCCGCTCCCACCGGCTGGAGAGCAAAAATGGGGCCCTGAATGATCCTGGACCTTAAAAGGATGCTCACCAAACCCCAGAGAAAGGGGAGGAGGTGAAAGCTGGGATCTCCGATCAAGTGTTTGCCGGTTTGAGCAGACTTTACTCTGCAAGGTCTGGTAATGGGGAAAGAGGAAGTGAGAGAATGCACGTGTGTGAAAGCACATCTGCAAAATTTGTTTTCTTCTCTAACTGTTCTGTGGTCCTTGGAGGGCTTTATATTTAGTGTGCCGGGCAGGTCAGCCTGCCAGCTGGGCAGCTACGAGGAAGACATGGGCAGAATAGGCAGTATTGGCTTTGGGTTTTTACATCTCAACCTTAGTGGCAGGCTGGGAATCTGCTCCATCACAGGAAACTGGGAAGTGTCTGGGAATGGTGTGCAGAAGCACATTTAAGAATGTTAATGTTGCATCCGATCAGTGGTCCATCCAGCCCAGGGTGTGACAGTGCTGCCTACAGAGAGCAGATGAGCCTGTCCTCTCTGCACTCCCCCAGAATCCCCAGTGGCTGGGTTTGGATGGTAGAGGCTCATCACTGCCTAAGCCTTCTAGTGTCTGCTTATAGAGCCATTGCCAACTCACTCAGTTTTATGAAGTCCTTCTAGAGTTACTTGCTTGAAAGAACTTTGTGACATAGAAATTTAAGGACTTGTCTGGACACTTCCTGTTCATTTACTCACTGAAAATGCCGAGTAAAGCCAGTCCCACCATCAATCCCACAGTGTGGAGGTCTTGTTGATGCCTGTTTTCCACCCTGAAAAGTGGCTTTTACGTCACATCTTTTGCTTCATATCCTGCCTCCAATTTTCTATCTGTAAAGAGTCTTCTCATCATGTGATGAATTAGTTTCTCTGATAAACTTTGGTATAGAACCTAATCAAAAGGTTTTTTTCAGAATTGGACAGTTCTGTGTCTGTTGCACCCATTCTCTGTCGTTTCTGGTGCACTCTGAGGGCTGTGGTGGGTTGGTGAATCAGGGTTTCTCTCTGCAGAAGCCACACTGCCTTGTTTCCAAGAGACCATGTTTATCCTTGTCTACAGTGACTTTATTTTTTCAGACTCTACTGCCATTAGCAAGGATGGATGGCAAACTTCCTGGTCTGCAATTCCCAGGGCCCCTTCTGAAGTCCCTTTATGGGCTGTGAACTGCAATGGCAGGCTGCCAGGGCACTGACAGCCTGCGCTACCCTCCCCATCCCGTGCAGCCCGAGACCGAGGGGTGTGGATGAATGGTAGTCAGGGACAAAGTGGACCTCTACTCAGAAGTGGAAACCACCATCCAGAGAAGTGTCAGTAACTAATTTATTTTAACTTCAAAACACTTTTGCTGAACTTCTGAAGGGAGTACTTAAGTGCCAGTTATTTCTCCCCCTCTTCCCTCAGAAGGACAAGGCATTTTACATGGCTCTGCATAGAATGGTCAGCAAAATACAGAGATGTGTAGAGATTAGGTGGAATGCAACTTCTGTCAGGGGTTTCATACCTGCTACTGATATAATTGGTACTTGGTGGGATATTCCCTACAGTGTGATAGAAACATTCTTATTTGGCAGTGTAATAGAGTGAAGGGGGGAGATACTACATTTTCAAATCATCTAGACCAGGATTTAACAGAAGTCATGAGCACAAAACTGAATAACATAGCTAAATACAAACCCTTTGGGCTACAGAAACACCACAATGAAAAGTTTTTGGCTCAAGTATTAAAGCAGGTGTCTTATATGACACTTAATGAGGGACAAATGCTGCTATAGAGCCTCTGAGAGGATCCAGCTTGTGAAAGAGACTGTAAGGCAGCAAAGCAGTTTTGCTCTTTAATGATCATCACCAAAACAGAAAGAAATGAAAAAACAGAAGCAGAAGTAAAATGTCTTTTTTTTTGTTGTCCTCGATGCAACTGCCAAGGAGCTTTGTTCTGGAAAGAGAAAGTGCCACAGCAGGATGGGAATGCTTGCATTGGGTGGGTTGTCATATCTGTCATCATTATAAACATGGACAGATGATGATGATCTCTCCATTCTGTTTCTAGTTTTTCTTAGTCTCCAGAGATGCTCATCCAGCTGTTTTCACCAGAAAATTTATTCAGCTAATTTGTCCACTTCCCTTTCTTGTTTTCTTACAGTGCTTCTTCCCTCCATCATGCTGATAACATCTTCTCTGTGCTCACTGCTGCTTAAAGCCCTTCCTGTTTCTGGAGATGCCAAGTACTTTCCAGTGCCTGGAGGTGTGTTAGTCTTCCTCCTTCACTGATTTTTCTGCAAAATGTGGCATCCCATTCTGCTTGAGGAGCAGGCAAGGTGGGAGAAGAGGAACAGGCAGTGACTGGGGTTCTAAGTGGGTCACTTCTCATAGATACAGGTTCCTTCCTCTCCTCTTACACACTCATCCCTCGGGTACTACCCCGCAATTATTTTCTAGCTTTGCAGCAGCAGTGTGTCTAAACCCAGGCAGCTGACAGCACAGCTTGAGAGTTCAACTACTGCTGTAAGATTTTGAAGAGAAGCAGGTTTCACAAGGCTGCAGCTTAGGGGAGAGTATTTCTAGAAGCCAGTTCCTCTCCAGAGTTTTCAGAGAAGATGTGTATGATCACTGATACTTTCCAGTCTTAGTTTTTGGGTGAGCTGAAGAAATACTCTAGAATACTCTGGGTATGTTTTTTTTGTTTTGTTTTTGTTTTTTTTTTTTTTCCCAAATGATAACTAGGATGTAACAATCCTTCCTAGTTATGTAGTTCTCCTTACCCTGAGCTTGTCACAGCCTGTGTCTGAGAAGGACTACTTTGAATGAGATTTATGTGCATTTGGCATAATTTGAAACAGACTGAAACTTAATGTCAGGGCGTTTAATGGCATGCAGGGCCTTAAAATTATGATGGAAGTCATCTGGGGACCTGTATTGGCAGTGTACAGCCCTTCTCACTGGTGGTGTTCCTACCTGCTTACCACAGCCTGCAAAACAAACAGCCACCCATGCAATCTCAGTGCAGAGAAAATGCTGCGGTGATGGATGATGTCCAGGTGTAACCTTTCACCTGTTACGGTAGTCAAAAATCTTTGTGGGAGGAGTGCATGATGGAAAATGGTAGGATAATGAAAAAAAAGACCAGTCAGGTGTAGAATTCTGTTGTTAAAAAAAAGTATTAACTATTTTTGAAATACCCCACCATCTGACAGGCCAGGCCACACCTGAAAGGGCAACTGGGAAAACCCTGGTTTGCCAAAGTGGTTTAGTCCAAAGGGCAGCTGCTACTGCTGCCAGGGGCAGAGCATATCTTCAGTGAGCTGCTACAATGGATGCAAGAAACCGAGCACACAGTCTATTATCAAATGCATGGTGGAAACTTGACATTTCAGCAATGTAATTTGCTTGTTTTTCCAGTAGAATGAGACTAATGTGCTCCTTTTCAGTGTTTGATACAGCGTCATTCACATCTGAGCAAAATAAATGGGGAAGAAGATAATTTTGGTATCTATTCTAGGCATTACTAATTTTAGTGCCACTAAGGATAGGGATTTTTTTCCCTCCTCTTTTTTCCTTTTTTTAAAAAGAAAATACAACAAAGCACATATATCTTAGAATAAAAATAATTTTGAAGGGCAACATCTCTCCTGGTTCCTTGATACTGGCACCTTGGTAGCTGCAGCACATCCCTTATGATGTCTGGAATGAAAACCAGTCATCAAACTCTGACACAGAAGAGTTATGAAATATTTCCAGCTTCTCTGAACCCCCCAAATAAACCAGTGTTTGTGTAGCTGAAATAAACAGAGAATCACCATGAATGAAACCTTCTGAATTCAGTGCCATCAATACAAAAGATTACATCTCTAGTCTGTGTGCAAGAGGTTTTGAATCCCAATTTTTGAATCAGTCACCTGTCTCCCTTTTCAGCACCTCCTTCTACCATTGTGGTAGTTCATAAAAAAAGAGATCTGTGTATTGAAGGAAAACAGCAGAGAAAGGTTTGTGCTTGGCCTAGCCTCTTTGAAATGCATGCAGACATATTTATTTCCCCTATGATATAGCTCCTATTGTGTGCTTTGCATCTTTAAATGTGTGAAGCATCATGCCTGCCTGGCAGGACCCTGAGATTCAAGACAGAAGAGAGACAGGCTTTGTTTTCTCTCTCATGGAGATTTTGCTTTTGGTCTTTCTTTACCATTATGTTGGCTTGTTGAGAGAGTTAGTAAAAAATCCTATAATACTTTCCCAGTTTCTTTACATTTTCTGTGCACAAAGAGCAAAATGAACACTTTCCCCCTGCACAGGAAAATGCTAGGAAAAGAAAATGTGCAAAACAGTGCAAGAAGCAGCATCTCCTCCGCTGCAGAGTCTTCTCTCAGCAGACAGGCAGGCTGCACGCTCACATTGGAAACTGCAAAACAAAGAAGAGAAACTCACAGGCACACATTCTGGAGTGCCTAAGGACTATTTCTGTTCCTGCCAACCTGCTCCCAGCCAGCACAATAACGAAGGCATGCTGCTGTGGAAGGTCCCATACATGCCACCGCGTTTTGCAGATGGGGCATTTGCCATCGCAGTTTCATATCCTGCCATTTTTCTGCCTGGTTCATCCATGTTCTAGAGTACAAGAAAGTGAGAATACTGTGGAAGTAAATCTTCACCTGTGGTAGATTGCTAGTTAAACTGGTTAAGCACTGGTCTGATTTTGTAAGTTGTTCCACATGAGCAAGTGGAGGGGCTGCAGCCAGCAGGGAGCGAGGCTTGGCTGCATGTGGTGGTGGGGGCTTTCCTGCAGGGTGACAAGTCTGAGGCCTGAATTTCTCAAGAATAAATTTCCTTCTCACCATTCCTATATGGGCTCTAGAAAGTGTGTGGTGGCTGTTTTCTGAGAGGAGGTGAGTCTAAAGCAGGCCAAAGCGAGTGAAGCCACATTAGCATTAGGGTTTGTTTGTATGGTCTGAGGCTTAACCATGCTGTCAGTCCCGATGAGTTCATAAAGAAGTTGTGGCAATTTGTGGGGAGGCCTCCAGGCTTTTGCATGAGGTGTGGACTGGCTGTGGTTGGAGTTGCATTCTTTCTTCCCCCTGTATAAGTGACCTCCTTGGAAAATAAACCCCAGGACTTACGTCAGAGGAGTATTCTGCATGCACTGAATAGCGACATGGCTGCGGCGTGTGTAGCTGTGCGTGCACATGGAATAGCAGCGCTCGTACCAACATCCTCCCTCAAGAATCCTCTTGCGGGAGGACAGTTATAAATAACTCTTTGGTCACTATAATTCTGCCAGTACAGGCTGCCAGAGAAATACATTGACTCAGCACATGCCTGAACAAGGTCCTCTCCCAGGCAGCACCTCCCACCGTACAAACGTCCTTGCAAAGTTGTGTGGGTGCCTGGTGGGGCAGCCAGCCCCATCTGGCTGCTGCTGCAAGCTGCCATGAGACAGTGCTGAATCAAATTAATGTTTGTAAAACATACTGAAGACAAAAAAAAGCACTGCTCAGGCACCAGTTAATATTATTTCAGTGCCCTCAGTTGCAATTCTGCTGTGGGAAGAACCGCAGGTGCCTTTCCCTGCAGTGGCAACTCTGGGTGTACCCAGTGGAGAAATGAACATTCTTCTGCCACTCTCACCGAGCTGCACTGGTCTTTACTGAGCCAAGTGAGATGGCCTGGCATGTGTTCACTGACAAGAGGAACAAAATTGTCCCTCATGCTAGCATTCTTAACATCTACTGCTCAATGGCCTTTTTGCCTCTTCTGGCTGCCACAGTCTTACCAAAGAAATCTCCCTGGCCCTGTACCAGGTAGGAGGCTACAGTCAAATTTTTTTGCTGTTGTTCCTGAAACAATATTAATTCTTTTTGATCGTTACATGGGGGACTCTTTTTCTTATTTTAAAAATTGCTTTCAAAATAGTAATTAGGAAGCTGTTATTGTTCATTTTTTCAAAGCAGGTTCTACATGGAGTAAAGAACCTAGAGATGTGATTTGCTTTTTATCACTTGGAGTACCAAAATGGCTATAAATGAATCCAAATGTAATTTTCCTGGGAAAAGAATTCCTCTGTTATATAAGCCCTTTTTGCTACACGTTTCAGGGCCTGTTTTACCCATATAATTTGAAATTATTCAGAAGAAATCCCTGAGTTTTTTGTTTGTGCAAGTATCGATTCTGCATTTTTTATTCTGCTAATCCTGTCTCTGAAACTGCTTTTTTATTAATATCTACAAGTAATTGCAAACTCTAACTTTCCAACAACCTATTTGAATGTACATAGTGTGTTCCCTTGACTGCATGTCTCCATTTAAACCAGTACAATTTCTTGGAGGCACATAGGTCTACTGATGTGTTATCCTTACATTGCTGTATCTCTTTCCTGAAATGGTGATGCATCATACCTCTATATGAGTAAAATTGTAAATGTTATACTAAAGTATAACTACTTTGGTAAAATAAAATTATATCCAGTCTAATTATAATGAAAATACCCAAGACTCACCTGTTAATTCTTCATTACAGTACATTTCCAGCTGCAACAGAATTTAAATACCACATTTTCTCATGTGGGTTATTTAATTTTTTTTCCATAATGTCACGGTTTTATTATTTCTGAATGCAATTACAGCATCAGTTACAATGGCAACATTTTTATCTTTGCCCTGTGTCCCATAGAGACAAACCTTGAGAAGTCAAACAGTAAGCTTTCAAAAATGAGCTTATCTGTGAGGTTAAACAAGGTGTGGCAACCCTGACATGGGGCTCCTGCATCAAGAAAATGTAATTTTTCTAGCCCCTTGTAGTGGTCCTCATTCTGTAATGTGAAAATAGTTTTATAGATGTGTATTTATGTATTTTTAGCACTGTCATATACTGTGTTTTCAATGGAGATGTTATATTTAGAAGTTTCTCAAAATGTGGAGCATGTGTTAAGTTTTTTTTGCGTAATCCATCAAGACTAATTTGATTTGAGACCGGTGCCTTTTTTTTCCCCCCATCTGTTTGGAAAAGTGCAGTTGTAGAGACATCAGTCATGTAACACTTTCTGTAAAACAGCTTTACTGACAGTTGGGAGTTGTCAGTAACCATGTGGATTTCAAGCTCTCAGTCTGGCTACGATGCGAAAAACCCTCTGACACAGAATTTCCACAGAGCCACAGAATATGAGGCTGGAAAGACCCAGAGTGCTCATGCAGCTAACCTCCCACCTAGCCAACCCAGAGGTAAGTCATGTTTCAAGCCTAATAGCTGCAGAAAACATCAGCTTCTGGGACAAACACACTCAGTTTAATAGCATTTAGTCACCAATCACCACTGATTCAATAGTTAACTACCATTATTTATTTGGTATATATGTTGTGTACATAACTGTGGCTTGTTTCCTCTTCCAGCTGATCTAGTTTCAACTTCCAGCCTTTGGGAAAGCTTTAAGAGATGCTGAGTCTGTGTTCCTTGTCTAAATATGTGGAGACCAAACTCTGTGTTGGATGAGGGTAGAACAGGCAGATGCCCCAGGGAAGAAAATTCCTGGAAGGAATGGAAGGGAAAGAGTTCTGCAGAGGTAACTGTGTCCCTGCTGCTTGTGCCCACAGTCACTGAGTTTGCTACCCAGTGCTGGGGCAGAGGCATGAGCAGGGGTTTGCAGGGCTTGGCACAGGCTTGGTGGGCTTGACATGGGCCTGCAGGGCTCTGCCTTTGTGTAGGAGATGGAGGAAAACACATTGAAGTGCCCATAAAAGCTCTTTTCAACTTAGAAGCAGTAAAACTCAGTTTTGCCCCTGTGTTGTTGAGAAATGTGGGATTGTCTCTTCAGACCAGTGCAGCAATCTCCTCTGTGTTCACCTTTGTGAAGATACCATACTGAAATGTTTCCATCTCTCACTGAGGGATGTTTTGTAGCCTCTAGGACTCTCTCCTGTCCATTTGTGTCCCACTCAGGACGTGACTTGAGCAGAACAGCTCATGAAGGCCGATGCTGGAGGTGACATAACTTACTGCATCATACTTGGCCTATATCCATGTCTTTTCCCTAACCTCTGCTCATCAGCATGGGCTCTCTTCTGCTGTGTGTCTTCCATCCTTCCGTGTCTGAGGTCTCTTTTGGCTGCATTGGAAAGTTTATGGTTTCAGTGTGCCCATGCAAATGATCAAGTTGACTCCTCGGGTTACAATCTTTCCTCCTTGTTGCATACTTTTGCACAGATTTTGGAGTTTTTAAAAACATTACTCAGGGATCATTGTATCACATATTTTGTGCAATGCAAAAATATAAAATCGTGCATATTCAGCTACCTTCTTGCAAATTAGAAATGAATTCACTTAATCTTGCTTATAATAATATTTTTCTATCATTTCATACCATTATAATTTTATTTAGTTACTTCTAGAATCAATGAGTTCATCCAGGTCAGCATCCTGCTTGAAGTGGGGCTGTGACCAATAGTGGATGAGGTCAGCCACACAACAACTAAATCTTGAAACGCCTTCAGGAGCAAAAGTTCCACAGCCTCTCTGGGCCATCTGTTTCAGGGTTACCCTGCCCTCCCAGAGAACATGTCCTGTCCAGACCTCAGCACATGTCCACTCCTACAGCCTTTAGCACTAAGAAGAGAAGTTTGAATTTCTTCTGTATAGCCACCCTGTTCCAGCAGCCCTTAGTCTTCCCCTGATCAGATTAAACAGGCTCAGCTCCCTCAGCCCCTCTCATGTTTCTCCAGGCCTCTGATGATCTCAGCAGTGCTTTACTGGACCCTTTCCAAATTGACACATTTGGCCTCATGCCCTCTGTAATCCCCAACTCCTTTTAACCAGGATGGCTCCTCAGCGAGGTGCTTCCCAGCCTGAACAGATCACATTTCCTTGTTCAACATCATGAGGTGGCTGTTGGCCTGGATCTCAAGTGTATAAAGGAGCCTCTGCATGGAAGCTTTGCTGTTTGTCAGTGCAGACAGCTTGTCATCAACAAATCTGACTGTGTTACCATCGATGTATCTGATGAAGATACTGACCAGTGTGGATTTTGGTACTGACCCCTTGGGTGCACCTTTGTTTGCTGGTGACCTGTCAGACACGACCAGACAGTTTTCAGTCCCTCTGTCAACCTGTTTTTTAGCCCATGTTCTCTAAGCTTCCAAGTGATACTGTGTGGAATGGTGTCAAAACCTTACAGAGCATATTACAGCCAGCACTTTCATCTTCACACATTCAGTAATTTCATTTTAGAAAGCAGGATGGTCAGTCAAATTTGATTTGCCATCAGTAAATCCATGCTATTTGTTCCCAAATAAGTTTTTGTCCTTTGTGGCCTTAGAAGTAGATCCCAAGAGGGACACACTCCCTCATCTTATAGTGAGCAAGATGATGGTGATCAGCAGATCAGTTCCCAGTTTCCTTTCTTGCCTTTCTAAAGATAGATGAGGGGTTAGACTTTTTCCAGACATTGGGGACTTCCCCAGTCTAGACAGCTGTCACAAACAGCTGTGTTACAATCCCACTGACCAGTTCTTTCAAGAAATGGGTACTGTGCCTCATGTCCATCTCTTGTATGTTCCCTTTTTGCATCTGGTTTCATCAAGAAGATGCTTCTGTAGCCAATTAAATATTCTGCTGAAATGGCTTCTTTCTGAACAACTGGATAGATGAGCTACTCAGTAAGTTGTCTTGAAAAATCATTCAGAACTTCTGGGCAAATTTCCACTCCATGGTTGTGTCTCAAGGGATTTTATTTAGCAACTCTGTGAGTAAATTGAAGTTTCTTCTTCTGAAATCCAGAGTAATTATTCTGTAGCTTACCTTCCCAGCCTTGTTCTGGATCCTGAATTTAATAACGGTTACAGAAGATAAATCCAGGCTGATACTGTGACCATGTTCACCACTGGAAGTCGAGTGTAATCCCTAGCTGTCCCCTCCAGCATTCACATGATGGAATTATCACTTGTGCCATATAAGGAGCTCCTGATTGCCTGGTCATTGCTGTGTTACCCTTCCAGCAGACGCCTGATTTGAAATGCTCTGTAGAATTAGAGACTACAAGGACACTTTTGCCAGTTTTCAGTAGGAAGCCCTGTTCACAGGCTGGTTCGACACACTGTGAGAAGCTGCCCTGTTTCCAGCAAGTCTGTCCCCTCTGCACTTCACCCAGAGGTTCCTTCCAGTCTCAGCTTTCCTGCTGGAGCTTGGTACAGTCAGGGAGCTCCTTAACACAGAGCACAACTCATTTTGTTCATGTTTGATTCACTGTGATTCACATCTTCTTGATTAATTTTGAATCTCTTGATTCATATCATTTTTGTTTCCTAATCAAGATGTCACTGATCTCTAACCTTACAGTCAAATGCAGTCAAAGATAAGAAATCTAATTCCTTTTCTTATTATCTGGGCTTGGTATATAACTGTAATAATAATAATTACATATATTTCTTTATCCTCAAGCTGTTTGAACCTGACCTGCACGGAATTTAGTGTTCTCCAAATCAAGCCATCTGCACATAATGACATCAGAAGATGAAGTTCTGTTTGCCACAGAGAACTGCATTTGCACCCCAGAATGCTACAGCTGTGAAGGTGGAAGGTATTAGAGCACCATGTGAGCAAATCTTTGTGCTAATGAAAGTACTGCACCAACATTAACATCAGGCTGAACAAGCAGAATTTTTTTCTTTATTAGTTAATACCCCAAAGCCCCAAACAATCACTAAAAGAATAGACTCTTTTGAATGAAAGTCACACATTAACTTTACGTTTTATGTTTTCTCCCGCACCAGCTGAAGGTTTGTTGTTGTTGTTTTTTTTTTTTTCTTTTCCCATTAATTCCTTTGACCATGTTTTTGTGTAAAAGAGCTGAAGTAAAGTTGGTGGGTTTTTTTTTGTTTGGGGCTTTGGGGTATTAACTAATAAAGAAAAAAATTCTGCTTGTTCAGCCTGATGTTAATGTT